TGAATCAAAGTAGACACCTTGTACGTCCTTTATCATGGAAGGTAATACAGATTACAACTTGAAAACTCCAAATATTATAGAGCCCACTTCGGATGTGCCCTTAGTGACAGCCAAAATCCTCTCCAATCAAAATCTTGTCTTGATTCATATTCGTTAGTATTGTCTTACCATGATTGTGCATCATGGGAAGTCTAACAATTTCAAATGAAAAAGTGCATAACTTCACAAAATTACAGTGTCCAGTGCACATATGTCTTGATGATGAGCGGAAATCGCGCCACTCCATAAACTTAGCGATTTTCTTCCATAATGCGTAAACTGCCCTTTTTGTTACTGGGGAAGTTTTCTTAGTGAGCCCTTTCTCTGTTCCCTGTAATTGAGTTTTTTTTCAGCTTCTCTACTAAAAATTAAATGTAAAGGCCTTTCCAATTTCAAACTTTCCTTAGAATTGTTTACTACTAGAAAATGTCGGACTAATTGATTACAGAGAAAGGGAAGAAAATTAAAGCTCAAAATCAAAATAAAAAAAAAAGGCGTCTTGTCATACAGCTGCAGTTACAGGCCAGAAATCTGGACGCAAGCGGCACCTTAAGTCCGAGTTGTCCGCTTTACGGCTAAGGCGCTTTTCATTTCGCTTGGCCTAAAGTATTATCTTTTACATATTAATGATTTATATTTCTAGCATTTTCTTGCTAAATTGATCAGGTCACATCATTTTCGATTTCAGAGGAATTTGTAGCCTTGATATCTTCAGTGCAGTGAAATCTTAGCTAGGAGAAATGCATAAATTAAACTTTAGATTTCAGTGGTGGAAATTGTTTCTTAGAAATGTAGTGCTTCTCTTTGGAAAAGGATTTGCAACGTTTAGATGGATTTTCAACTTCTTTTAAAGAAGGAAGACTAATTAGTAGTGGTTTTCGTTTACTGCTGAATTTGATGTTTTCATCAGGGTTCAGTGCTCAATGATATCCGATCGTTATCATGAGAAGTACAGCAATAATTCTTAGTGGATTTTAATCTTTTAGTCATAGTATTTGATGTTGCTGAAGTTTCAATATTGAGCTTGCACTCTTCTTCGCCGCTAAAGGAGCGAAAATCTATTATTTCACCCGATATTTCTCTGCTAGCCAGATTGTTTACTCTTTATTCGTGCTTTTTAGGTAAAATGCGCTACGTTTCAGCTTACCTCCTTGCTCTTGCTGGTGGAAATCAACATCCTAAGGTTAGCAAGTAATCACGTACCGCACTGTCAAACCATTCATATGGAAGCCTTTTTTCAGCTTGACGATTTGAAAAACATTCTGGGAGCTGTCGGGGTTGATACTGATGTTGAAGCAGCCAAGCTTGTTATTTCACGGTTAGAAGGCAAGAGCATTGATGAGGTCATTGCTGAGGGTCAATCTGGTTTGGTCACAGTAAGTAAAGATTTTTTTGTAATTCACTTATCTAACTGTATATACATTACAAGTTCTATCGTCTCTACGGAAAAGTCCAAAGACTTTTGCAGTAAAGATGCACCTTTTTTATTAACATGACGCATTTGACAACTCCACAACTTTTACAGTTTTTGCCTTTAGTTTTTTTTCCAGCATAGCTGATTTCGTAATCTTTTTGCTTTCATCGGTATCCATCTTGATTGAGGGAATTTTCATCGAACTGTGATATGTTTGTAAATGTGGGTTCCATTTCACATGTCGTTCTATGAAGCCATGTAGTAATAAGCAGCTTCTCGTGACTTATGAGAGAATTGTTGGGAAATTTGAAATTTGAAGGTACTCGTAGTGGTTGTAGCAACAATATGTGTCACTCTTAAAGCTAGCTGGACTTATTTCGCATTTGAAATCCGAGAAGAATATCGATCGTTTTTCAAACTGTATATCTGCTGACAGTCTAGTTGTTAGTTGCAAAGTTCTATCATCTAGATAATTACACCAGCCCATTGGGGAGCAAGCG